TCTTTCTTTTTTGCTTTGTACATTTTGGGTACAATTAACTGTACACGTTTTATCATTTTATCTATTTTTGCAACCATTTTAATTGTAATCTTAAGTCAACACTTTCAATTACAAAGTATATGCAAACTAGTTTTGATTCAATATTAACACTGAAGTACTACCCATTTCAATATAACAGTCACATTTCAGAAATGCTCTGCCACATATTTTGCTATTCAGTCATTGGTGTATCAGGGTCTGGTGTTAGACGAGGAACACACTGATTTATCCCATCATTCTAATAAAGTTTGTCAGTCATTTGGCAATCCTATAACCTGAACCACGGTAGCGAAACAGCCTTACATTTCCATGACTGATACTGTTTCATACATACTGTAGTTGAATGATACACTGCAGACACCTGAGGGGCAGATGATATAGATAATGGACATATAATGCAGAACATGGTTTACCAAGCAGGATGTTTTCCTTGTACAACATCCTTGTTTATTACATTTATACTCACTCAGGGTCAGAGGTCACTGCTCCATCACTGAATTCAGGGGGGCTCAACATGGATCTGTTACTCTTCATAGACACACAGCTGTGTTCTGGAGATATTGCTTTAACATCCTCCTTCTCCTCACTCTTCTCATAGAAACTCCTTTTACAGGCAGTGCTTCTAGAAATAGACGATAAAAAACAAAAATGAATTGATTTTTTTTTTTTTACTCCTGCCTGACTGAAAAATTTAAATTCTTTCTTTTTTTCCGTTGAAAATAATAAAGAAATATGGACAAAAAATACAAAGGAAGTCAATGGAAACCATTTTGGTTATCAACATTTATTCTTTTGTGTTCAGCAGAAGAAAGAAATGCATATACTGTAGGTATGCAATGAGTAAAGGTTGAGTAAATGACAGAATTTTCATTTCTGGGTGGACTTTCCCATTAAGCCTCATACATGCAGGCTTACGCCAAAGTAGCTAGTAGGCATTTATACTGTTAGTTGTCATAGTAATGTGGGCGGGACAACCATCCATATAGTTGCCATAGTTCATAATCTTTTAATAAATTGATTAAGTTTTCATCCAATTTTGCTGTTCTGTTATTGACCAAATGATTTAGATTACAGCCCGCAATTTACAGTGTGCTTTTGGTAACACTTTAGATTAGGGAACACAATTCACAATTAACTAAGAGTTTTCCCTCAATAAACTCCTAATTACCTGCTTATTAATAGTTAGTAAGGTAGTTGTTAAATTTAGGTATGGGGTAGGATTAAGGGATCTATATAGTCATGCAGAATAAAACATTAATATGTGCTTTATATGTAGTAAAAAACAGCCAATATGCTAGTAATATGCCTGTTAATAAGTAACTAGTCAATAGTAAATAATGTTCCCTAATCTAAAGTGTAACCGTTTTATTTATTTTTTATTTTTTGCTCAAAGTTTGGGGAATAAAGGAACAACTGAACCAGGAAAAACTAGTAACCTGGAAAATTAAAAAATATTTATACTGTTAGCATTTTATAACTAAGGGCTACTTATTCTAATATTACGTGTATGTCCTACTATGCTATAGGCACTGTTATTACAAAAAAGTACATTGTAAATTGTGGGCTGTAAACTAAAGTGTTACCATTTATATGTATAACTTAATAATGTTAACATATTAGATTTAATGCTCCTTTGAACATAACCAAGGCCTTAAAGCTAAGGATGGCAATTTTCAGCAAAAACACTTTTTGTTATACTGGTTTATTCTCTTCACACCTTTAATCAATAATTAAAGTAGCCAAAATATCTTCTGTGGAAGACTCAGGACCATAAAATGTTCGCTCAGTCATTGCATTTGGTCCGATGTCCTACCTGCCTGTCAGCCTATGTATTTGCATACCTCCACGCAGCCAATAGCGAGAGTTTGGGGTGTGGCTACTGTAGCAAGCTGAGCCAAAGGGTGTTTAGCCAGTGTGGAAAAATAAATTTAGATTTAAATTTACAGAATTGCAAGCAAAATTTGAAGACTTGCCAAAACACACAGAGACAACAAAATAGGGTAAAACAAGGGTAAACCCTTGCTGTCATGAATCCTGTCCATGATCTTCCGTCTGCTCGCCACCAGAGGTCACCTTCTGATTATAGACACTCACACCACACAAACTTCCAGCAGACAGAGGAACAGATTGATGCATCTGTCAGCTGAGAGACCTTCATCACCCTTGATTGTGGCTTTAATGTACTGTGTGATTCTCTTGATGGTCTCTGAGCTGTTCACTGTGTGTGTCAGCAGATCCTGTAAGAGTCTCTGATTGAACTCCAGTGAGACGCCCAGCAGGAACCTCAGGAAAAGATCCAGGTGTCCATTTTTACTCTGCAAAGATTGATTAACTGTTGCTTTTAGCAGCTCAAACAGAGTGTTTTCACACATGTTCCTGTGAAATTCATTTAGAAACAACTTCAGTGATTCATTATTCTTGACTACATGGAAGTAAAACAGATATAAAGCTGCAAGAAACTCCTGAAAGCTCAGATGAATGAAGCAGTAAACTTTCCTTTAAATACGAGGCCCTAACCACTGTTCAGGGCCGAGTATTGTTTGTGTCTCAGTCAGTGAGACACAAACAATGTGTCTCACTGACCCTCAGTCAGTGATAGCAACTTTACGGAGCCAGTTCCCTGTCCTAGTTTTCTGAGTCTAGTCTAGTTTTGCTATACCCGTGTCTCTCTGCCTGTCCTGTCATGGCTACAGAGGCCACTTGTGAACTCTTGCCTTGTCCCGAACCGGCCACGGAGGCCATTTATGAACTTTCGTCCTGCTCTGAACCGGCCGAGGAAGCCATTTATGAACTCATGTCCTGCTCTGAGTCGGCCAAAGAGGCCAACTTAGAACTCCCAACCATGCCTGTAACACCCCAGAGACAGTACATGGACTTTAATTTTGCCCGGATTCTGCCAAGGGGCTTTCCTTGGAACTCTCAGCCCAGCCTGTTATGACCAAGGCCTTAAAGGCCTTTTTCCTGCCCCGTTAATACTGTCATGGCCATAGGGGCCGTTAACAAACCTTTTATCTGCCCTGTTAGCCCTGTGACGAGCCCAGAGACCTGTCTGTCCTAATAAACTGTCTGTCTGTCTAAATCCTGCTAATGAATCTGTTTCTGAATCATCTGCCAGTCCCGTTTCCCTCAATGATTGTGATGTTGAACCATCTGTCTGTGCAGATTCTATTAATGTCTGTTCAGTTTCAGTCACAGAAGTGTCTCCCAGTCCAGTTTCTGTTAATCCATCCAATTTTGAACAGTCCATCTCTCTGGATTCTGCTGTTGAGTTTGGTTTTGAGCTGTCGTTCTTGCCAGTTTCAATCATTAAATCTAATTTTGAACAATCTGTCTGTCTGGTTCCAACTAATGAGTCTGATTCTGAGCCATCTGTCTGTTCCGTTTCAAACAATGAGCTTGAGTTTGAACAGTCTGTCTATCCAATTCCAGCCAATGCAGTTGATTATGAACTGTCTGTCTGTCCAGTTTCAGTCAGTGAGCCTGTTTATGAACTGTCTGCCTGTTCAGTTGTCACCAGGGAAACTATGGATGAACTTTTTGCATTCCCTGCCTCAGTCCTTGATGCCGTAGATGCACTGTCTGTCTCTTGTGTCTCAGTTCTCCCTAGGCCCCAGTCTCTGCCATGGGTCCCGGCTCCGTCTGCTTCTCTGTGGTGGTCTTCTGCTCCGTCTGCGCCGCCCTGGTGGTCTTCTGCTCCGTCTGCTCCACCCTGGTGGTCTTCTGCTCCATCTGTCTGCCCTGGTGGTCTTCTGCTCCGTCTGCTCCGCCCTGGTGGTCTTCTGCTCCGCCCTGGTGGTCTTCTGCTCCGCCGTGGAGGTCTTCTGTCCTGCTCTGGTGGTCTTCTGCTCCGCCATGGAGGTCTTCTGTCCTGCTCTGATGGTCTACTGCTCCGCTGTGGGGATCTTTGGTCCCATCTGCTCTGCTGTGGTGGTCCTCAGCTCCACCTGTACTGCCGGCTCCGCCCTGGCTCCCTGCTCCGCTGGTCCTGCCTCAGTCCCAACTTCCTACACCTGCACATGGGCCTGGCCCTACATCCCTCCCCCTGTTCTGCCTCCGCTCCACCGCCCTCCTGGATTGTACTGTGTTTGGAGCTTCTGGAAGCCGCTCCTTGGGGGGGGGGGCATCCTGTCCCTGATCTTCCTTCTGCTCGCCACCAGAGGTTGCCTTCCGATTATATAGACACTCACACCACACAGTCAGTCACACATCACCCTGGACTACATTTCCCTTGTTTCATTGCACTGATTACGCACTCACCTGCAACCAATCACACACACTTTAAATACGAGGCCCTAACCACTGTTCAGGGCCGAGTATTGTTTGCATTTATCCCTCAGTCAGTGATAGCAACTTTACGGAGCCAGTTCCCTATCCTAGTTTCCCTATCCTCAAGACTGTCTAGTCTAGTCTTGTTATACCCGTATCTTGATTCTAGTCTGTTTATCTCGACCTGTCTGTCTGCTGTCTGCCCTGGAGTTATCGCCCGTCTTGGATTATCTCTATGTCTTGCCGTTTTTGACTCTGTTCGCCCCTCGTCTGGACTATTGTCTGTCTGTTTGGATTATCCGTTTGCCTCGCCCCCTGGATTACGTTCGCCGTCTATTGACCCATGCCTGTTTACTACTCTTGTGTCTTGCCTGTGCTATATCTGTTTGCTGGTGTTCGACCCTGCCTGTTTCTGACCATGTCTTCAAATAAAGCTTTGCATTTGGATCCACACGCCTCTCGTCTCACTCACTTCTTAACAGAGGCAATGTTTTTACAAGATGAAGGAATTTGATAGAATGTTTGGGTTTCAGTCGATATGAGAAACTTGCAGAGTTTAATCTCAACATGTAAGCTAAACTAGTATTCTTAATCCTTTTAATGAAAGTAGCCTTTTATTTTTTGTGCTAAAATTAAATGATTGATAATTACCATTTCTATGAGCTTTATCAGTAAAATTGTTGATGATTTTTCAGAAAAACCTGTCTTTTTATCTGTTATGAAAAGATAATTAAATTAGTACACACATACAAACAAAAACAAAAAACAATAATATGTTTAAATAATATGTTTATACTCACTCAGGGTCAGAGGTCACTGCTCCATCACTAAATTCAGGGGGGCTCAACATAGACCTGTCACTCTTTATAGACACACAGCTGGGTTCTGGTGATGCTGCTTTATGTGACTGAACATCCTCCTCCTCTTCTCTCTTCCCAAAGAGACTCATTTTACAGGCAGAGCTGGACACAAACAATAAAAATTTAAAAACGAATTAACTTTAGGCATACAAGAGGAATTATGAAAAAAGAAACCTCTTTATGAATTCTCATGCCACACAATATTACATTTATATTGTAAAACAAACTCTATTCACAAACATATATATACACACACACACACACACACACAAAGCTTTGGATGAATGCCCATCAAAAGCTATTCAACTCAATGCCCAGTTCAAAAGATTCAGAAACTACTCATAGAATTAATCTGAGTGTCTGAATCATTTATGATTGCCAGGACTGTGACCCTTTGAGCTTCCTGATTCCTCAATACAACCTTGATTCTGTGAGCAGCTGATATTTACAGTCAATAGAGCTGCTGAAACCCTAATGGGCTCATTTCATCTCTGGGAAATCACTCTTTACAGCAATCACTGTGTGACTTTTTAAGTATTTATGGCACATTGTCATTGGATCTGAGTTCTGTTTTAGTTTCGGTGCGACTGCAATTTGATCAGCAAGTGCTTGACGGCCGCCAAGAGTAAGAAAAACTGTCTGTAGAGGGAGTTAAAGCATCTGAAAAAACTTTTTTAAGGGAATTTTACACTGCAACACCGACAACCAACCAAGTGCAGTACGTCACTTCTCAGACCAAGACCTGACAAATGCAGATTCGACATGTTCAATCAGCGAAAACAAGTGCCAATCAATGCTAATGTAGCATGTCTGGACCGGTCACCCTCACACACATAAAGACCACACGACCACTCGTTGATGAGATTCAGCACTTTCTTTTACTCAATCTGTAACAAGGAGAAATAATCAGTGGATCAACAGGCGACAGCTTCTCCCTCTCTGGCACACTAAACATATGATGCTAATTAGTTAGCGTCACAATGTACACCGTTTAAGTTAAATAACACCGTAAAATATACATTTACATTATAACTAGCACAATCGAGTGCTAGTATAAAGTAATTACATTCATCCAGCGATAAATATGCATTTTAGACAAAAAACATCGCCATACCAGAGTCATTCACGGGGAGAACATATTACATGTGCTCATTAGCCTCGCACACAGGTAGACTGAGGCTATCACATGTCGCATGCGGGGAAACCCCGGATGTGTTCCACTGATATCATTCCCTCCCCAGACAAACTCCCAAGGAAAAGTCCGCGACTTTAACGTTATATTTTTTTTACTTGCGAACAATAGTAGAGGAACAAAATTTCGTGGAGTTCATTAACCCATTCTTATTATGAAACACATAGAATTTATAACAGTATAAACAGCATATAAAAAAATTATAATAATACAATATAGGAAAGAAAAGAAAGCTAATTAAATCAAGTCAATAACTTATTCACACCAGTTACATTAACAGACGTGACACTGGTCAGACAAATCCAGACTAAGTGTCTGTCGGTGCAGTGTAAATTGGCCCTTATTTTACAATAGGACAGACATAATATTTACACTCGCAAATTCAGACTGATTTACCTACGCATGAGAATTAATCCAGAAATGTTTTTCGAACCTACCTCTGTCTCAACAATGAAGAACATCAAACACAAACTTCATTCAGTTCATAAATCCATTCTGTCTCTAGATAGCAGCATTAAACCGATCTGTTCTGATTCACATTATTCACAAACAGCTTTTCTCTCCTGATGTTGTTTGTTTTTCGTCTCAAAATGGAACCTGTTGAAACAGTTTCACTTTTGTAACAGTTTCACTTTTGACAGTGTCACATGACCATTATGAGTAGTGACCCTTGAATATTTGTTAAAGGAATATTCTGGGTTCAGTACAACTAAAGCTCTATTGACAGCATCTGTGGCCTGTTGTTATCCAAGTAAATAATGTCAACCCATCCCTCAATTTGTACCAGACGTGTTTAAAATAATGCTCTCAGTTCATCTGTGGTAAGATGACATGTCTTGAAATACATGAACACTATATCTACGGTTTTAAAAAAAGTTGAAAAGCTCTGAATTAAAGTGATAGGTGAGAATGAAATTAATCAAAGATAATGCTAATATTTCTCATAAGTTGTATTAGGGCCCTCTCAAGTCCGAAAGAATTAGTTATTTAGAAGCATGTTTATATTAGTCAAAGTATTTTCAGAAGCTCGCTAAATGTGTATATCTCCCCTAATTTTCTCTGCTGTGGGTTGATGGTGGACAAACAGCATGATTTTGATACTGTGAGACCTCGGCAACAGAAACAACAGAGGAGAAAAATGAGAAGAGTGACTTGCTCAAGTCACAAGGTTAATGCTTAAAGGGGTCATATGATGCGATTTCAAGTTTTCCTTTCTCTTTGGAGTGTTACAAGCTCTTGGTGCATAAAGAAGATCTGTAAAGTTGCAAAGACTAAAGTCTCAAATCCAAAGAGATATTCTTTATAAAAGTTAAGAGTCAACCACGCCTACCTAAAACGGCTCGTTCTAACACGCCCCCACACTGTAAACCCGAACAGTACTACTAACTTATAAAGATTAAGAACACTGCAATTAAAGTCTGTTAAATCGTTGATGCAACTTATAACAATTGCATTTTCTGAACGAGGAATTTAGTTTTATTTTTGTGTGGCTCAACAGTTTTGAGTAAACTCTTCTATTTAAATTATTATTTTTAAGTTTACTGAGTGACGTAAAGTGACGTCACCTCGTTGCTCTAACCGACGTTCAGAAGAATCCATTCAATCTACGTCACGATGTGGAAATATTTGCGTAATGCCGCCCAAATGTTCATGCAAAGAAAGAAGGCGTGGTTTCAGGAACAGCAGTAGTGTTGATGCAGCCATGTCAGGGAGACGGTGTGTGATTCAGTGCGAAAGCAAAAGTACTTTATTTGGCCTTCCTGAAGTAGATGCAATTAGGAATCATTGGTTAAGATTTATTTACAACAGAACAGCACAACCCAGATGTTCGAATTTGTGCAACGCACTTTATGGACAACAGTGTTTTGAACCTAGAAGAGCACAAGACTGGCTGTGCACAAAGGCTATTTCTAAAAAAAAAAAAAAAGGGTCAATTCCGACTTTGCTATGACAATCTGGCGCGTCTGAATCAGCGACTGTAAGTATGTTTTGTTATTAGTTTAAGTATTTGCTATTGACTGTTCAAATGCGGAGTTTAGCGCAGCGCAGAGTAACGCGTCGTGTGTGTGTGTGTGTGAGGGGAACAGGGTCACATCACAGGAGAGTGAACAGCCTGTCAGAAATTTGAAAAAGAATGTGTTTTTTGAACATTAAAGCATGTCAGCATATTCTGTTACACAAAATAATGATCTTTAAGATAGCATCATATGACCCCTTTAAGTCACCAGGGATCAGTGTTGGGGGTAACACATTACAAGTAATGCAAATTACGTAATCAGATTACTTTTTTCAACTAACTAAAGTAACGCATTACTTTTTAATTTACAAGGAAATATCGGAGTTACTTTTTCAAATAAGCAACGGCAGTTACTTTTTTCCCCCATTTATTGGGCTGCGTTTACACTGGCACAAAAAATCCGATCTTTCGCTCACATCTGACACAGATCGGAATTTGTTGCACACGTGTAAACACAAAAACCTGCACGAGATCCGATTTTTTTGCATCCGATCTGAGCCACTTCCAAATGTGGATTTTAATTGGATACACATCTGATATCTGGACATCCGACCTACGTCTAAACACACATATCCAATTCTCCACAGAACTCCCAATGCGAGGGCGACACGTTTGCTCATAAAGATTTTTAATGCCAGCGTGCTGTATGCGCTCGCATTTTATTGAGATGGAAACTTTTTATAGGTAAGAAATTGCACATTCAGGAGCTAGTTTTCAACCCCCGCCCCGTGAATTTTGAAAATACAACAGCTAAAAGCTACATATATTTCTCAGCAATGAATTGATAATTTAGCAGTTTTTGTAATTAAACCGACAAGCTTGTTTGCAATGCTTCACAATCGCTCGCTCGCACGTGGGTGCATGCGTTCGTTCGTTCTCTCTCCTCTCTCCTTAATTCGAATTCATTTCAATACGGGAAATAGGTATAGTAGAGTTTAATGTTAAAAATATAGTAACATATGGAAATAGTGACCAAGGACGGAGATATTTGTTTAATTTTCTAAGGAGGACTGGACTGGAAGGAC